ACTTTGCAGATAGTATTTCAATAATACTTTGCCTGGTATAAACACAACTGTTTCAATGCATGAGTTGCTCAACAAAGCACTATTTGCCCTCTAAACCACACTTTGCCATATTTTTTTGTTGAATATGGTGCTTCTTTCGTATTTTGGTTGAGTATGGTCCTTTAAATGGTATTCACTTGAGTCAAATTGGGCTATTTGCTTAATAATTGCTCGAGTAGCTAAATTCGCATAAAATGATTATTTCGAAAATAAAAACGATTCATGAATATGTAAACATAAGGTATTTCAGTGGACTTTTCAGAGAGCATACTTTGCCTAGTACAAACACAATTGTATAAATACAGTACTTGCTCAACAAAGCATTATTTGCACTTTAAACGCACACTTTGCCATATTTTGGTTGAGAATGGTGTCTATTTCGTATCTTGGTTGAGTATGCTCCTTTAAATAGTATTCACTTGAGTCAACTTGGGCTCTGTGCTTAACAGTTTCTCTAGTAGTTAAATTCGCATAGAACCAAGAAAAATGTTTCACTATTTGATTAATACTTTGCCTCGTACAAACACACTCGTATAAATAAATTAGTTGCTCAACAAAACATTAATTGCCCTTTAAACGCACAATTTGCATAGAAAGCCACAAATCTAAACATCTAAAGACAGCATTGTCCGCTTCAGATTCAAAATGTAGATTCTTCCAATGCTGGCTTATCGGGGTCTGTGAGGTGGGTGTCCCAGTAACTGTCCTTCAATACCCGGTGATTAACTACGCGACTTTTGGGCCTTCTTTGTTATATTTTGTTAAAAAGGCCTAAAAAGGCCGAAAAAGGGTAGGTCGCTGGGGGGGGGGGTAGCATATATATATATATAATTCGATTCCGTGCTCGCTAGTGATCGCCCTAGAGGTTTGTCGTATGTCCTCCCGATTCTTGTTCCTGAGATTTGGTAGGGGCCTAGAGCTTTGTCGTATGTCCCCTCCTTTCGCCCCTTCGTGTTGTAGGGGTTTTGTTGGGCCTTGAAGGCTTGTCGTGTGTCCCCTTTCTTCGAGCTTGGAGAATTGAGGAGTGTCGAGATGATTACCATACATCATTTGCTTCCGTGCTCGTACTATGTGGGGTTAGTGACTGCCCTAGAGGTTTGTCATATGTCTCCTTCCTTCGTCCCTTCGCGTTGTATGGGTGGTAAGGGTTTTGTGAGGGCCCTGGAGGCTAGTCGTATATCCACTTTCTTCGAGCTTGTAGGGTTTGGAGGGAGCGTCTAGAGTCTAGATGATCGTCATATATGATCTGCTTCCGTGCTCAAACTATGAGGGGCTAGTGGCTGTCCTAGAGGTTTGTCATTTGTCCCCCCCGTTTCCTTGGTCCTGTGATTTGGGAGGGGCTTAGAGGTTTGTCATACGTTCCCTCGCTTCGTCCTTTCGTGTTGCAAGGGTTTTGTGAGAGCCCTGCAAATTTGCCGTGTGTCCCCTTTCTTCTCACTTGTAGGGTTTGGGGAGCGTCTAGACGACTGACATATAATTTGATTCCGTGCTCGTATTGTGAGGGGCTAGTGATTGCCCTAGAGGTTTGTCGTATGTCCCCCCGATTCCTGTTCCTGAGATTTGGTAGGGGCTTAGAGCTTTGTCGTATGTCCCCTCCTTTCGCCCCTTCGTGTTGTAGGGGTTTTGTTGGGCCTTGAAGGTTTGTCGTGTGTCCCCTTTCTTCGTGCTTGGAGAGTTTGAGGAGCGTCGAGATGATTACCATACATCATTTGCTTCCGTGCTCGTACTATGTGGGGTTACTGACTGCCCTAGAGGTTTGTCGTATGTCCCCTTCCTTCGTCCCTTCGCGTTGTATGGGTGGTAAGGGTTTTGTGAGGGCCCTGGACGCTAGTCGTATATCCACTTTCTTCGAGCTTGTAGGGTTTGGGGGAGCGTCTAGAGTCTAGATGATCGTCATATATGATTTGCTTCCGTGCTCAAACTATGAGGGGCTAGTGGCTGTCCTAGAGGTTTGTCATTTGTCCCCCCTGTTTCCTTGGTCCTGTGATTTGGTAGGGGCTTAGAGGCTTGTCATACGTTCCCTTGCTTCGTCCTTTCGTGTTGCAAGGGTTTTGTGAAAGCCCTGCAAAATTGCCGTGTGTCCCCTTTCTTCTCACTTGTAGGGTTTGGGGAGCGTCTAGACGACTGACATATAATTTGATTCCGTGCTCGTATTGTGAGGGGCTAGTGACTGCCCTAGGGGTTTGTCGTATGCCCCCTCCCCCGCTTCCTTGTTCCTGTGATGTAGTAGGGGCCTACAGGTTTGTCGTATGTCCCCTGCCTTCGTCCCTTCGTGTTGTAAGGCTGATAAAATTTTTCTGAGGGCCCTTGGAGATTTGTCGTATGTCCCCACGCTTAGTGTTCCTGAGATTTGGTAGGGGCCAGAGATTTGTCGAATGTCCCCTCCTTTCGTCCCTTCGTGTTGAAATTGCTTTGTTGGGGGAAGGTTTGTCGTATGTCACCTTTCTTTCTTCTTAGAGGGTTTGGGGATCTTCTAGAAAACTGTCATATATCATTTGCTTCCGTGCTCGTATTATGAGGGGCTGGTGTTTGTCATAGAGGTTTGTCGTATGTCCCGCCGCTTTCTGTTCCTGCGATGTGGTAGGGGCCTAAAGAGGTTTGTCGTGTGCCCCCTCCCTTCGTCCCTTTGAGTTGCAAGGGTTTTGTTGGACCTGGAAGATTTATCGTATGTCTCCTTTCTTCGTGCTTGTAGGGCGTGGGGAGCGTCTAGATGATTATCATATATGATTTGCTTCCGTGCTCGTATTATGAGGGGCTAGTGACTGCCCTAGAGGTTTGTTTTATGTCTCCCTGCTTCGTGTTCATGTGATTTGCTAGGGTCCTGGAGATTTGTCGTATGTCATTTTACCATATACGAAATTAGATACAATCCCTTCGTCCCTTCGTGTTGTAAGGGTTTCGTGAGGGTCCTAGAGGTTTGTCGTATGTGCCCTTCCTTCGTCCCTTCTTGTTGTAAGGGTTTTGTGAGGGCCCTGCAAATTTGCCGTATGTCCCTTTCTTCGTGCTTGTAGGATTTGGGCAGCGTCTAGATGATTGTCATTATCATTTGCTTCCGTGCTCGTACTATGAGGCGCTAGTAACTGCCCTAGACCTTCAGGGCCCTCACAAAACCCTTACAACACGAAGGGACGAAGGGAGACGACATACGACAAACCTCTATCATCTAGATGCTCCCCAAACCCTACAAGCAAGAAGAAAGGGGACATACGACAAACCTCCAGGGCCCTCACAGAACCCTTACAATAGGAAGGAATGAAGGGAGGAGACACACTACAAACCTTTAGGCCCCTACCAAATCACAGGATCACGAAGCGGGGGCGTCATCTGACAAACCTCCAGGCCAATCACTAGCCCCTCATAATACGAGCACGGAAGCACATGATATGTGATTATCATCTACACACTCCCCAGACCCTACAAGCACGAACAAAGGGGACATACGACAAACCTCCAGGACCCTCCCAAAACCCTTACAACACGAAGGGACGAAGGGACCCTTACAACACGAAGGGACGACAAACCTTTAGCCCCCTACCAAATCACAGGAACACGAAGCGGGGGGACATACGACAAACCTCTAGGGCAGGCACTAGCCCTCATAATACGAGCACGGAAACACATCATATATGTTAATCATTTTGATGCTCCCCCAAAACCTATAAGAACGAGAAAGGGGAAGCACACAAACCTCCAAAGCCCTTACAAAACCCTTACAAAACGAAGGGACGAAGGGAGGGGACATACGACAAACCTCTGGCCCCTACCAAGTCACGGGAAACGCGAAGCGAGGGTGCTCGCCTAAGTCTGGCTGTTGGCCGGCTGGATCTACATTTACTACTACTACTACTACTACTACTACTACTACTACTACTACTACTACCACTACTACTTTCAAGAAGTTTTGTAAATAGTAAACAAAGGGGCGTGCCAAATAGACCCTAAAGGTCCATGCCACATATGTATATATGTATATATGTATGTATGTATATATGTATATATGTATATATGTATATATGAAAATACAGATATATGTATATATGTATATATGTATATATGTATATATGTATATATGTATATATGTATATATGTATATATGTATATATGTATATATGTATATATGTATATTTGTATATATGTATATGTGTAGATACACATATATGTATATATATGTATGTATGTATGCATGCATGCATGTATGTATGTATGTATGTATGTGTGTATGTGTGTATGTATGTGTGTGTGTATGTATGTACGTACGTATGTATGTGTATATATCTATACGTGTATACATACATACATACATACATACATACATACATACATACATACATACATACATAATTACATACATACATACATACATACACATACATACATACAAACATATATATATATATATATATGTACATTTCCGGGTTTGCGTTGCTTAACCAGCGGCACCGCACACTGGAAAGGCCATTATAGGTTGAGCTTGAAGGCAGAACGTTTTTTTAACATCACATCTTTCCAAGTGCAGGCTCTACCTTCAAAACCAAAGCCAGGTCCAAGGACTAAGGGACCTTATCTTTCTTAGAGGGTTCTGAACATGAAGGCTCACCAAATAAGAGCACACACTAAGCGCCCTTGTAACTGCCCAGGGAGTTGAAAGGAAGGAGCCCCACCCCCAAGAAAATCCTGCAAAGAGTCCTGCCAACTATCCTTGGAGTGCCCACCCCCAGAGAATATCGCAAGAGGCCCACCCGCAGAAAATTCTGCGGAGTTTTCCGCAACAGAAGCCTGCGGCGAAGTGTCCCCAATCACCTGTCCGGAGATGGCAGGATGGTTTACATATTGGTCAGCTATAGGGTGAGGATGATCGAAGAATTTTTTTTTGGGTCTCTTTTTTGTTTTTTTCTGGTGACTGGGGTAGTGAGGCTAGGGGTGGGGTAGTATTGGATCCCAAAAGCCTCTAGACTTTCGAGGCTGCCATCAATCTGCTGGACATGGCACGGCGGCAGTTCCAGGCATGGTGGGTTTGTTGTTCCAGGGGTGCAGTGGTGTGTTCAGGGTTTAGGATGTCGGGTTTCAAGAATTGTGGGTGACTAGGGATTGGGGTCACGTGCTCGGGATTCGGGAGTTGGGGGCTGCAGCTTTAGTGTTTTCAGGTGCTGGGCCAGCCTGTAACCCCCGCACCCCCCGAAGCCCATGCTCTGATTCTCAACAGACGGCGACATCACACGAAAGGTCACGGTTGCCCCAGCTTCCTCAAGATGCTAGGAAAATGAATGCCGTGGACTGGGGATCCGACTGGCAGACCCTGCAGACCCTGCAGACCCTCAGCAGCCCTTGCAGGCCACGTCGTGCGGCTCAGCGCTGACGGAGGCCTTCGGGTCCCGCATGCAGCAGCTTCAGGCCAGTTGCTTTTTGTTCCTTACCTTGCCTCCATCCCCTCCTGTAACCCCCCTCCCCCCCTCCCCCCCCTCCTCCCAAACCCCAAACCCCGACAGGCCGCCTGGCTCGGCGGGTGGCGGCGCTCGCCCCAAAGCCCAGCGCCCAAGAAGAGGCAGCTTAGGGTGGCGCGAGGTGCTTAGCAGGGCATCAGGGTGTGCCTCATTTGCTGAGCTGCGGGGCTTTGGGGCTTTAACCAATAGCCTCGAAAGCCTCAAGACCCAACACTTTGGGGACGTGCTGTTGGGGGGTTTTCACGCGATCGAGAAGTTTAGGGGGTGTCTGGCTTGAGTCCATTAGCTTCTTGCTGGCTTGGTTTTCATCCCATCCGGTCCGGCGAGGCGGCACCAGCCTGGCACCAAGACCACCTGCGCCCTCGTGTTCCTGACTGGGGTTGTGGGGTGTTCACCCCAAAACCCTACGACCTCTGAATCCGAGTGGACGTAGTGTGTTAAATCTGGATCTGGCCAGGCCTTGAGTTACTATATCTCAGATCCTTCAATCGCACATCTGAGAAGGACTTACATCATCGCCATTCGTTGCGAAGATGTGGGTGTGGCCAACGCTCTCGCCGGCTCCGTGATGGGCTGCGGCTCGCCCTGAGATTGACAACCCCCCTTGTATTTTCGGGCCTTACGGACTCTTTAGCTGTCAGTATATGATCTCGGAGACCTCTTAGCAGGAGCCCAAACACTTGGACCATCAAATGTGGCCCCCAGGTCCTCAGCCCGGTACCCCAAAAAACCTCGAAACCAAGCAGGCATTACCTGCTTTGTCTTGCCCGGCCTGCTCTTCTTTCTGACGGTGTCGGTGCAGCTCCAGAGCCGGGAAGGTCTGCCACGACCACTTCTGGCGAAAGGCAGGGTGAATGTGTGGGTGTGTGTGTGTGTGTGGGTGGGTGGGTGGGAGTCTTGAAAAGGGCGCTTGGTATTTCGGCTTCGGGCGCAGGGTTTAGGATTCAGGGAGGCTCCATTTTTGGGGGGCTTTGGTCTCACGCACCGCAGCTTTGGCGGGTCCATGCCCTGAACACCTCAGCCCTCACCAAAGCCGGTATGAAGCTCTGGAGCCAACCCACGGCAACGATTCCAAGCCCAAGACAGCAAAGAGGATTCCCCAAGACAGCAAAGAAGATTCCTCAACCCCAGCCGCAAGCCTCTTGAAGGCCAGAAAGCCTTGAAGAACCAAAATTCAAAGCTTCGACCATCCCTAAGCGACGGCGAAACCGGAACCGGAGAGGAGCTGTGAAGCCCAGCCCGGCGATGCCGCCCGGAAGTGCAAGGAGGGATTTCGGGGGCCGAGGAGCCCAGGGATCTGGTTTGAAGCCCTAAACTCTTACCTTTGAGGAGCTTTCCTCGGCAATAGGCCCTAACCAGCCATCTCTGGACCGTAGCCCCAGCCGTAGCCTTGTATGCCCTGGCACAAGCCTCAGTCTTCGGACGCTCACGGAGCGCCGAAAGAAGATCCAAGATTCACTGAGGTACTGGAAGTTGCGCCTCGCGCAGGCCGCCGGCGCCGTGACCGCCTTAAGCGGCGTGCTGTTCACCATCATTGGTACAGTCCCTGGGCCTGACTTCTCTTCTTGGGGTGGCTCGTGCGGGTGATTCCCTGGTTCATTTGGGGCTCTGTGTCGGGCTGCTCACCGTGGGGGTGTGCAGTTCGCATTTAGGGGGGTGAGAATCACTCGTGCAACTTGAAGAGGCGTTGGAAGTTGTAGGTAGTGTGCTTCACCACGCATCGGATTCTGCGTAGGGGCCTGCTTTAGGAACTACTCGTACGGCCAAGGGACAGATTGCCCCCCAAAGCCCTCTCCCTCATCGCGAGTGCAACCACCGAACGACCCACAAACCTCTCCCAAATGCATAAACGCCCTTAGCAGCCCCCCTAATGACCGAAAGCCACGCGCTGAAAGCAACCATGCGCCAAAGCCTCAAACGAACCCAAGTTGCTGCCGACACGCCGCCCCAGAGGCAGTAATCCTCATCAACCACTGGGAGTGAAGCTGATCTCACTGAAGCCCAGGGCTTCCGATTTCAAGAGTTCGGGGTTGTGCGAGGGTGTCAGGATGATTTATGGGTGTAGATCTTCGTGGGGCTATGGGGCTCCGTGGCCACCATTAGGTGGCAACATGTTGGGCGACTAAGAGGTTTGGGTTCAGGGTTCCGGAGCCAGGCAGAAGCTCCGCTGCAACAATTTGTGTGACCGGTTTCACAGCAGTGACAGTTTTGTGGTCCAGGACGGAGTCCAAGACCAATGTTTATAGAATGCTACAGAACGATTTCCCACCAGCCTTTGGCACTGCTCCTTAAAGAGAGCAGATGCATCGGTCCCAGCCAAGCTGGTTTGCGGAGATCACTGGCAGGCACGAGCCTGTCTTTCAGAGGGAGCTGCACTTGGATTCCCGCCGACCCATTGAAATCGGAGCAGGCTCAGCATTCTGACTTGAAAAATTTGGTGGAATCCCAGTGCCTCGAACAGTCCAGTTTCCCAGTTTCCGGCCGAATCTGCAATCAAGTAAGCAGGTCAAAAGTTGAAGCCTGATAAACCTGCGCCTCAAGTCAGCTGATGTAGCCCGGAGAGGCGTGGGGATTGGGTGCCCCAAGCCATAGAGGTTCATCATTGTTCATCGACTACCTGATTGTTTTTTTGCTACTGCAGGATTGCCAGGGGGCGTACGGAATGCTGCCCAAAACTGACAGCACTCAAACACGAAACTCAAGCCTCTGCTCCAAAATCCTAGGTCCGGTGAGTCCCCTGGACATGTTGGCGTCCAGCCTCACTGCAGCCATCTCCCCCTACGCCGTACCGCAGGCTCCTTGGAGCCGCTCCCTGGGTTTAGGGTTTAGGGTTCAGGGTTTAGGGTCCTAAACTATGAATGTGTCAGCGCAGCCTTGAGCTTGAACAAGACGTGGGTGTTCGAGGACCTTGTGGTCAAAAAGAGGGCCCTCGAAACCCCGAACCCACCCCCTCTGAGCTGAAAGCCTCCCATGGCCACAGGGCGGGTTCCTCCTTTTCGCAAGCAGCCATGCCCGTGGCATGCCTGGAGGGCTCATGCTGCCCGCTGCCGAGTTTAAAGGGGGTGAGTGCTGGGGCGGCTTGGGGATTGGGTTCTTGGGTTCAGAGGTCGCTGAAGCTGCTGGCTACTGGGGCTTTGGGGAGGGGTTGGGCTGCCAACTCAGTTGCGAGGGGCTTCATGAATGGGCATAGTTGCATGCTCCTGAAGACAGGGGGCGTTTGATGTTTGACTTGATTAGGCATGTCATGAACCGTCTATCCATCCCAGCAGAGACACCCCCCAACCAAATACTCCCCTCGCCCTGCAACATCGAAACTCCTCAGAGCCCCAAATATGCTCTAACTATACCTTTCAGCCTCTGTGCTTGTTTGGGGGGGCTGTGGGAGCATGCTGGAGCTTCATTGGTCGGTCCTTCGCAAAGTGTCCGCTTGGGGCCCTGCGCCTCAGAACCGCAAGCCGTGCTGGTGCCCCAGGCTGCAGCAACAACTCGGGCTTCTGCGTCCCGAGCGCTGGAAAATCCAACAGCCTTGACCCCTTCACCCTCTCCCCTCCCCAAATCCTACACCCCCAACCTCCAAGCAGCAGAGCATGCGCTGCGAGACGTGCGTCCCGAGGCGGCGCATCACCTTCTACAACACCATGCTGGGAAGCCAGCAGGTGGAGGTGAGAGTTGAGGGCTCTCCATAGGGCAGTGAGGTTTTTAGAGGGGATGTTGGGACTTGTGGTGTGCTGAGCTTGCATCAGATGCAATGGTCGAAACTGTTTAGGAGTCTAGCTGCTGCAGAATGCGCATCCGGGCAAGATGGCCTCAAAACTTGCTCACGCTCTGCGACACAGCACGTGCTCTTATTCGTGGTGCTGGGGGGGGGAGGGGGCAGAGCATTGTGCAGCTTTGTTGGTCGGTTGTGATGCGGCTGTGCTGGATGTTTTGTGGGTGAGCCTTGCATCTGGGGCCGCTGAACGCAGGAGCAGTACTTGAACTCCCGCTATCAGCGCGAGAAGAAGCCTCCGCCGCAGCAGCTGGCACTCAGTGCGAGGCTGAGTCCCACTATTTGGCCACGCGCTGCCATGGATCATTGAAGGCGCAAGTCGGATTTTTTAGCGTTTTTTTTGTGGCCATGTGGGGCTTACCATGCCAGCTTGGCATGGGCTTCCCTGTCTGACCTCATGGCTATGATCTTGCCCAGTGTAATCTGAGAGGTTGAAAGCAAGGTCTTTGAATTTGTGATTGTTCCGGCCTTGAGAGCCACTGTTAGTGCGCAGATGTAATTGTGGACCCTGACTTCTGCGTGCTCTCAGCCATCAGCCGTGCCGCTTCACGGTGTAAGGTTCGGCAATGAAGAAGCGGGGCGCCCGGCGAAGAGTTCCTGCTGCAGAGTGTGGTAGGGGTTGTTGGGCCCCCAAACCCTGAACACCGTGAAATCCTACAGCATCCTCTCTGAGGGCGGCGCCGGTCCTTTGGCTGCACGGCTCATTCCTGTGCGAGTTTGCGGACTGCTTCATATCGAGCGACCGCCTGAGAAGCGCAGAGCAGCCCCATAAAGCCCCAAAGCCCCTACCCCGAACCCGCATAGTAAATCCGCAGCGAAAGGTGCCGGGGGCGATTTGGTGCACCTCCTGCGGTCCTTCACCCTGGGGCTCGAGGGGGCCTCCAAGAGCCTTGGTGCGGGGCCACAGTGCGTGCATGGTGCCCTTGCAGCAGCCCTCCCTTAACCCTAAGAATCCTCTACCCCCCCACCCAAAGAATCAAAGTCCCTAGTCCCCACTCAATCAGAGCTCAATCCCGATACCTTAAAGGGGGTTTCGGGTTTAGGGTGATAGGGTTTGTGGCTTGGGGCAAAGCAGGTGAGAGCCCGGCTGGTGGGCCTCCCCTGTGGCCCGGGCGCCAAGTTGCTCCCGTCCTGGTTTGGCGGTCCTGCGGAGCTCAAATCAGCCCACTAGGGTTTAAGGTTTTTTAAGGTGTAGAGTTTACAAGGTTTAGGTTCGGGTTTCGGGTTTAGAATTTAAGACTCAATACTACTACCATATCCTAAACCCCTCACTCCAAATCAAGTAGATCGACATTGTAGGTGTGTTTTTTTGGTGCATTCAATGAGACAGAACTGGCCAAGGGCCTCCATACTCACAAGGAGCGCAACCTTTTCAAGGCCTTTGATGGCCCTCCGGCTCAGGAGTCTGAGCCCGCCCGCCCCCCCATCCCCCAGAGCCCCTCAAACCATAAGCCCCAAACAGACCAAAAAGCCCAAAACACAAGCATGTCATGGTAGGATTGCGGGCTTGGGAGAGTCTAAGAAATTGAGGGCTTGTGGGCAGGGGGTGTAAGGCAGAGTCCAGGGAGTTGCTTCCAGGTCGCCAGAGCAGCAAACGAGCCTCTACAACATCACGGAGCTGTTTCAGAGGCTTCCCGACTGGAAGCCTCCAGTTTAGGGTTGAGGGTTTAGGGTTTAGGGTTTAGGGTTGCTGATCTTGACCTGTAGATGCCTCGTGGCTGATGCCTCGCGGTTCACGGATACCGGCTGCGGTCGCTTGTCAGTGTGGTGCAAAAAAAGCAATTTGACTAGTAGTACGTGCAGCAACTGGTGCCTGCCTGGATAATTTCTCGTTCTTGGACTCAAGCCGTGGAGCTCCTTGAGCGACTTCTTCCCAGCGCATGGGGGTTGACGGCAAGCCCACAAAACCTGGAGAGGTCAGAGCCTTTGTTCAAAAAGTGGCAGCCGCTGTGGACTGCGGAGGACGGGCAGGGACATGGGCAGTATCTCCAGAGCGATTTACGAGTGTATTATTCCCCAACACCCGAAACCCACCCTAAAAGGCCTTGAGCTGAACACAGGATCACGCCGTGCCCTCTCTGGCCGCGTCCTACGTGCGGAGACTGCAGACCAATCGGCAGAACCTTCGTGGGCCTCTCAGGGGTCCCTGTCAATCTGCATGTGGCGCGTGTGGCGGCGAGTGTGGCCCTCCAGAAGATGGGAGACCCTGAACATCCCTAAGCCCCAAACGCTCTGAGCCAAGAACGGTCCCTAAGCCCAAGGTTTCATTCTTCTTAAGCCAAACCCTTCTACACCCAAAGAAAGAGTAAAGAAAGCTGAAGCTTCGGACGTGGCGCCAAGGCAACCAAGGGGGAAGTCGGGGACCTCAGGGTGACGAGCAACGAGGATAGCGATCTTAAGCTGCTGTACATGGTGGGTGCCAGAAAATGTGTTCTTGCAGCAACCTACTCATTGCTCGAGGAAGCCATTTACGCATTTAGGTTCTTGTATTGCAGGTCCCTTTGGGGCAGGACGGGTGCGAGCAATTCCTCGAGCTAGCATAGTAGGTTCCTGCGCGACAGGTTCGGCGCTTAGGTGTTGGACCTTTAGGGCAACATTGCACCCCACATCCCAGCCCACGTCTCCCCAATCCCCCCCTCCCCCTCGCCTCCAGTTCCCGTGTTTGCGAGCTCGGCCCGAATTTAGGCTTGCTCATCCCGCTTGGCATCAAGACCATCAACGCGGGCTCCCAGCATGGTGCTCGGGATCCAGGGTTCGGGGTGTTGGGCTCGGGACTTCCGCTGCAAGGAGTGGGTGCACTGGGGTTGGTATGGCATTCAAGCCAGCAGAAGCATACGGGAAAGTAGAAGATTGAATTGAAGGCTCGAAAAGTTCAACGTTTTCTCAGTTTCTTTCGCACTTTCTCAGTGGATAGAAGACAGCTTCTTGACGAGCAAGGTCTTCTGGGATTCTGGGATGAAGAGACTCTGAGTGGGTTTCGGGAGATTTGGGCTGCTGGCCTGGGTGGGGTTCGTGTTGGACCTGGAGCATGATTCGTAAGGGGACCTGCCCCCGAGCAAGGATGATCTTGCTCATCTTGGAGAAGAAAGATGCCCAGGCCCTGAGCCCAGTTCGTTTGCCACGAAAGCTATAGGGGAATAAGATGAAGGGCCTAGAGTTCCCCCCCCCCCATATCCCTTAAAGCCAACAAGTTCCTGCGAGACCTACCGCCTGACCATTATCAACTCGGGCGCGCCGGGGCTTGAGTGGCACGCCTGCTCCTCCGCCCGGCGGCCTGGGAGAAGGTTTTTTTTGTTGCTTAGGGTTTTAGTTTGGGGTTTTAGCTTTGGGTTTTAGTTTAGGGTTTTAGTTTAGGGTTTTAGTTCAGGGTTTAGGGCCTTTAGGGCCTTTAGGGTTTAAGGTTTGCGGTTTGCGGCTTTTGGGGTTTCGGGTTTGGCCCTGTTTGGGAAGGGGCCGTAAGCGACTCAAGAGGAACACTGCCCATCGTCGAGACACCAAAGAAAAGCCGTGGAGAAAGGGCCCAATGGGTGATCGAGATTTCGGGGACCTGGAAACTGCCACCCAGCAGCACCTTGCGTGCATTGGCTGTGATGTCTGTGCGCTGCAGGCAGAGCCGCCCAAGTTCAAGAGCCAGGCCGGCCTCATCACCGTGCTGGATGTCCTTGGAACCTTGACCCCAGCCCTATTCCCTAGAGACCCTGAGGTGTCGTCATCTCGCAACAAGAAGCACTGAAGCTGAAGACTGCATGAAGTCATGCAAACCTGAGAGGAATGTCGGGTTGCCTGAAGGGAGCACGATTGCAGGTGTCCAGCCAAGAAAGCGACTCCCCAGTTAAGTTCCCGAGTCACAGCGGTTGCCGTGGTGCAGGCGGCACTGGCTTTCGAGGATATTCCCAGCTCAAAGGCAGAGGATGATGCGTTCTGGGCCGCAAGCTTAGGGGGGTTCAATCGAGTGCGGTGAGCTGAAACCTTGTATCCTGAACACTGAGCGTCGGCCCCCCGCGCCCCTCTGTAGTTGAGGCCATGCTCGTGGTCACGTGTGCTATCCCTCCGAGCCCGATGATGGCCAAGGATCGAAGGGAGAGTCCGGCTGTTTGGGCGTGTTTCAGAGTTCGGGGGTGACGTCATGCACAAACACATCTATGACCCGGTGTCGGCCTGTTGAGAGTCTTGTGGGCCTGGCAAGCTCCCCTAATTTCCGATAATTAACCAGGAGAACATCGACACGAAGAAATTCCTGCGGTGCCCCAAAATGCCAGGAACCCGAATCCGAGATGCTACAAGGCCCAGAAAATCTGAATCAACCCCAGGAGCCCCTGCCGCTTTACGACAAGTTCATTCCCTGGCTCATCGGTGGCCCCCTGGAGCAGGGGCCCTTGTGGCAAGCTCCAAGAGGAGAGCATCGAGGTTCAAAGGAGGGGTTGAGCTGTAGGTTCTTTTTTTGGGAGATCTCCATCATCTTATATTCTTTGCGTTCTAATGTACCCAACAGGCCCTCAATTTTTTGACGTTAAAGCTGCTGCACAGAGCATACTGAGCACTGCACCATACTACGCCCCACCAGATCCCACAAACAACAAGTGCAAAGCACGTGGCGCATGTTGGCAACCTCCCCTCCCACTTTCCCGAAGAAGACAATCGATAACGACCCATGGCAAGCTACCCAGGAAAAGCCACAGTTAAGGGTCAAGGGTTCAGTTTTGGCACGTCTCTGCTTTCTTGGCCACATTTCAAATTGCTCAGGTGGTAGGAAGTCGCGGAATGCTTGAATCTGCCCTCGCAGCCTCAACCGCGAACCTCCCCTGAAGCTTGTGCCACACTTAAGAAAGCATCGTACCCAGGAGGACTGGGGGTTGAGGGCCTCCGGGATGGAAGAGCCTCTTGCCGAGGCACTACCTGGTCATGAATGTCTATGCCATTGATGGGCAGGCCACAGCTTAGTAACTTCAACGAGTTCAGGGCTGCCGTGGCTCCGTGAACCCTGAAGCCCTCCCTCCCTCCCCCCCCCCCTCCCACCTAGTACCACAAGAGCCAACGCACTCTGCAGAGTCAAAGCCCGAGGCTATAGAAGACATCAGTAGTGAAGGTACCTAGAAGTGTGGAAAGAAGGGAAGTCGGTGAGCTGCCCTGGTTTTGCAAAGACGATGCGGTGTAAAGACTGGAGCATGTGCAGCATTGTGCACGTTTCCGAAACTGTAAACGGACAGCCGAATGAACTACTACCCAACTGAAAACTCCTGAGCCCAAGCCTTGGACTTCCCAGGCACAGCCCGAAGAGAGCCCCAGAGAGTCCCAGAGAGCCCCCGCGTCACTGTCCGTTTCTTCGAGCCTTCGGCTCGAAACCAAACCTTGGATCGGACTTCGCCATCATGGCCGCTACCGTGCAGGAGCCGATGTCAAATTAAAAGTTTCGGGTTCAGGGTTCAGATTCCGGGTTGGGGGAGGTTGAAGCTTGTTCAGGTTTCAGGAGCTGTGAGCTGTCTTGGGGTCTGAGGCTGTAGGTGGAACAGGGCCGGAGACCCAAACGCCCTCAAAAATCCCTAAACCACAGAAGAAGCTTATAATTGCTGTGCCAAGCCGAACAGCTTGGAATGCAACCGAAAGACCCCGCACAACCCTATAAAACGGTGACCTGCAAGGATGCACTGGCGCTTCAGGGGAAGTGGGAGTGGATCCTAGCAGATAACAGCCATGAGTGGTATCCCGAATTCCCCTGAACCTACACCCTACGCCCTAAGAAACCTTAAACCAACAACCCTACTCCCTAAACCAAACACCCTAAACCCTAAGCCCTCCAGTAGGCAAGCACGAGCAAGAGGAGCTGGACGGCGCTGTGCGACATCGCTCGAGGCCATGCTTCATCGACCTTTCTGGCCGTCAGCCCAGTTTGTGCTCAAAGGGCCTCATTGGGCCTTGAAGGGCCTTGAAAGGGATTAGAGGGTTTAGGGGCTTCTCTCAGGGTCTTGCAGTGGTGAGGGATGCTGTTAAGGTGATTCAGGCCTTGGTGTGTGTGCGTGTGTGCAGGGCTTGGCTCCAAGTTCGAAGCATGGTGATGACAAGGCTGAAGCTCGCTCTTTTGACCCTGTAAGCCTTAAAGCGCAAGCCGAAAGCCCACAAATCGCAGACTCTACATGGATTCCTGTACCCCGCACCCAAGCTGCAGAAGCCACACCTTCAAAACTTCATGCCCCACTCCCCCCCGTTCCGAGGCCTCCCACCCCGCACCTTCGATCCGACACAAGCGAGCGAGCCGATCGCTCAGCTCCAGGGCGTTTGGGGGTTTAGGGGCTTTCCGGTTTCAGGCGTTCAGGAGTTTCAGGTTTTCCTGCAGTGTTGGCCAGATGAGAGAGGTGCTGGACGGACCAGACCTAGAAAGAGGATTATTGTGTTCGAGTGCCCCGGCCCCGCTGTGCTGACAGGGCCCAGGCTACGTTCAAAACCCCTGCAGCTTCCAGAAATCGCATGGTCTGGAATCATGCAGTTTAGGGTTTAAGGTTTATGATTGGGGGAGGGAGTTGTCTTGTGCGTGGTTTGCCATCGCATGCTTCCGGTGATATCAATTCTGCTCGGTGCGGGCGAGGGTGTCGCAGTCGCTGTTGAAGGCTTTTTGGTAGAGGGTGCATCGCCACTAAAACATAAGGATGCTGCGCAGCAACACTAACTCAAGACTCAAAACTTCGTCAACACCTTTCAGTGGATGTGCCTTCACTGAGAACTAATGGGTGCAGCTGCAAACGGAATGAGACAAGCGATGCACCAGGCACCCATGCCCTAAAAATTCGGCCGGGGAGGAGCAGGGTTAGGAACGGAACCGGCAGAAGCAGTACCACCTCCAGGAGCAGTAGGCGTCGTCACCACAGCCGCAAGCCTTTCTTACCATTCGGCTCCTAGAGCACCGCTCTGCTCAGATTTTCGCCGCTCGGCTCCCCGGAGCCTGTCATCAAGCTGACTTACACCGCGAAGCGAGCCGAGGCGGGCTGCTTCTTGGCGGATCGGGGGTCATTCCCTGAGAGTAGTAACAGCAAGTCTAGGCTTGTCTCTTATGGAACCCTATACTAACACCCCGTGGGTTCTATTCGGGCATGGAGAGTAGGGCCTCCGGTCAACATTTGTTTGAATGTCCCCAGTGGATCCACCGTCCTTATAAAATGGAGTCGCAGTCCACGCTTCAGAGTCCACTAGCAATCTGAGCCTTGATCCAGGCGGGCGTGCTAAGACTCGGATTGCGGACACACTCACATGCAGACCGCGGTTCCCACGGCGTCCATCGAATCCGCGAGCCCAAGGATCTTTAGCCTCGAGATTTCTAGGAAGAAGGCCTTTTGGACTCTGTGGAATTTCGGGCCCATTTTGTTTTTCCCGGAGATTCCTTGCTCCATCCCGCAGCCTGTAGCCGCAGGCAGTTGCGACCCTGTCGGAGCTTCAACGAAGGCTAAGGCGCACAATTCTTGATTGGAACGAGTCCTGAGGGCCAGGAGTTCTGAGTAGGGCTGCTTATGATCCTTATGATTGAGTTGCTGGGGGTGACTCGACTTCAACCCGGATGAGGTAACTGAAGCTCCCCCCCCCTTGTATTTTGGCGGGTTTGGACAGCAAGGATTGTACCAAGATCAGCGCGGGGTGAAAGTGGTCGCACCTGCGGCTTGTTGTTCGCTGTGGGTTCAGCCAGCCTTGTACCCTAAACTATACAGGGCTCCCTGAGTACCCTCCCCCCCCCCCCCTTCTGCCCCCAAAAGCTCCGAAACCATTCTTCCCAAGGACCTCGACTTGAAGCGCCCCACAACGGGAAGCTGGAGCAGAGCCAGGATCCGCAAAGGGCCTGAACCCTAAGACCCTAGAACGCTGAACCCTGAGACCCTAAAGACCCCTTCAAAGCCCTTAAAGCCCAAAGACTCAAGTCCCCTAGCCCAAAGCCTTGAGTTCTGAACTTCTGAGGAGCAGAGCTGTACGAACCCGTCAGCTGAGAAGCCTGCAAAGCCTGCCACATGCTTCCTCGAGAGGGCTTAGGATGGTTCAGATTTCGAGTGATTCTTATTTTATTGTACTCGTAGTAGAGTCCACAGACATGAGAAGGCTTCCAGAGTGTGGTAGTGTGTGTGGTAGACATGGCAGTTAAGCTCAGACTTAGGGCTGGGAACGCGATGCACAACCGTCTTAGGATGTGCACAATAGTCTTGGGTCACAGGCTGTGCGGCCAGCGCCTTGTGGCAAAGTCACAATATGAGACGCTGAGATTGCACTTGCATTGTTCCGGAATGTTTGCCGTCTTTCCGCCCCACGGCAACCTCATGTACTCACTGCCCTTTGAGCTGCGTATAAAGTACAGGCGGCCGGGAATAAACTTCAATGAGAACTTCTTGCAAAAGGTGGCGGTTGCTGAATGAGCGACCCGCTGCCTTGCAGAACAGAGTTTTGTGCCTAGGGTGTCCATCGAGCGGCGTCTGGCAGCTCTGCGAACATCTATGACTTTGAGGAATCCGTCTCTATGCAGGACTGGATATTGGACAGCCCCCTTTGCGGAGAAAAGCCGTCGCTTCTTCCGGGAGCCTTGTTGTTAATCATAGGGTATTTGTTTCTTACCGACACCATGGCCGTTGTTTAATTTCAATGGTGGTAAGTGGTAAGTTGCAGTCATTGCCAGCCCTTCACACCTGAAAGACGGCCACTGAAATATGTTGGTTGGACTCCAAAACGGACGCGTGAGATGCGCTGCTACTCATCTTTGCCCTCGCATGAGGTGCTCTGCTTTTGAGGCACGCCTCCAAGCCCCTTACAAAGACCAATCCTGCCTTTAAACCCCAAGCCCCAAACCCTAAATCCTGAGCCCTCAACCCTAAATCCTAAACCCTCAGCTAAATCCAAAGCCCTAAGCCCTACCGGAGAGCGCAACACCACCACGACGGGAGGCCCCCGAGCAGGACCAGTGCGAAGCGGGCCAGGCGGGCCGGCGTCCGCCTTCCACTTGCTGAGGGAATGGCCTCCGGTTTGAGGTTTAGTTTTTTTTTTTGGGGGGGGGGGGGGGTCTGGGGCTTGGCAGAGTGTACAGCAGGTGTTAGGCTGGGCTCAAGATTGGCCCTAGATTTCAACAGGCCGTTCTCTGACCTTTAGACTTGCAATCCTTGGCTTAAGATGTAGGGGTTCGTTTCAAGGTTCCACTATACCCACAACTGAAACTAGCAGGCCCACTGAGCATTTTGAGATTGATTCGGCCTCGGCAAATGCCAGAGTGCGTTGCATTTGTCAGAGTCAGGGCCTGGGGTCTAGGGTTTAGGGTTCAGGGTCGAGCGACTGGAGTCACCTGGCAGGACTTGCGCACCCCGCAGTACGGTGGGACCGGGGCGTGCTGGCCTCGGGCAGTGGGGCCTGCATCTTGGGGTTTGGGGCTCAGTGTGTCGAGGCCGCAATATCGCTTTTCTCACGCCTTTTCATCCGTATTGCCCCCCCCCCCTGGGACCCGGACCCGAACCCGGACCCGGACCCACCGCAAGAAAAACGATATCCCCGTCGAGGCAGCAGCTTTCAGAGGGCCCACCGGAGTGTGCAAAACTCTTGAGATTGATTTCATTGTTTTGATGAATATTTAATTCCTCTTGATTATTTGTAGCACTGTTGTTTTTCATTCTTTTCATCATTATTTTCTTGAATAATTTCATTATTATTCTCAATTTGTGGTTCATGATTATCATTCCTATTTTCATTTCATCATTTTCGTTTTCATTTTCGTGTTTATCATGAGCAACCGCGACTTGATTGCCGAAGCCGGACAAGAATCCTCAATGCGCTTCAAGAACTTTCAAAGCCCAACGATCTCAGCAAGACAGGCACTGAAGGGCCTCGAGCTTATCATTTATGGTACAAGCCGCAGCACCTCAGGTGGCGGTGCATGACCTTTGCCTTGCGATTCCTCCTTCGGGCCTGGATCTCAAACGAGTCGCCGAGTCGTTCGGGGTTTGGGTCCTGCAGGCTTTTTTGTCCACACTAGGACAACCAGGCCACCCTGAACCCTTAAGCCTACAACTAGGGCTTTTGGGGAGAGGTTCTCTAAACCTTCCGGGGGTTGTTCTACACTAGGGCTTGTAAGGGGATCCTTTCCACAGCCCAAGCAAGAGGATGAACGTCTGTGTAGAGATGCCTGGATATGCAGGTTGGCTTCAAGCCAGCCGTGGGCACTCTTACTTAAACCTGACCCCTAAACCCCTCAAACCTATCTGCCGCTTCAATCTCGACACCAGAAGCAGGCCCAGACACAAGCCCCTTCCTCAACCTTAAGCCCTAAACCCTTAACCCTCTAAAGCCCTACGGACCCTAAGAAGCCCCTTATAGGCCCTCATCCTAAGCCCCCCCCAACAAAGCCCCCCAAAAGCATCCCCTTCAGGATCGTGGCCTGTCCGTCGTGACCTCGAAGCTGGTGAAGTGGCATCTCCGCCGCTCCTTCTTGAAGCTGGCGCTGAAGGATCTGCGGGGGGTTTAGGGGTGTTTCGGGTTTGGAGTTCAAGGTTTAGGGTCCACAACGCTGGTGTAGTAGCAACAAGTTGTGATGTTGTTGCAGGCCTATTCCGAACCTTCCGGAATCATCAGGATTCCAACATCGGAAACCAGAAACGCTGGATTCCAAAGCCCTCCACCTCTCTCAATTGTATTCCCGCCCGCTTTTTGTCTGCATTGCAACAGCTCTGAACTGTCGCCCTCTGAGGCCATACATCCTGATTCAGAATGCATCGAATGTATCGCGGCGTCCCGGACCAATTCCTGAACCCTTAGCCAGGTTGAAATTGAGTGCTTCGCCTCATTTTGCAGGACCTGGCCACTGCACGTGCTCTGTCCACTTCCGAGCGGACTGTCTTGAGGCCACCTGCAAAGCTCTGGCAAATGAGGGTTTAAAAAGTTTACGGATTGTGGTGTAGGGGTTTCTGCCTGTAACCCCATGCAGACCATGCACGCCCTACAAGGAAGCAGGCGTATGGTACCCCAAAATCCTCAGATAGTGGGAGCCCTGCTAGGGCTTAGGGTTGAAGCCCAAGATAGTCCGACCTCGGAAGACCATGCTCCACCGCGTGCTTCGTGCATTTGGCGTCAGCCTTCTGGGTTTTACAGGACTTAGGTTTTTTTTGGGGTGAGTTTTGAGGCTTCGGGTTTAGGGTCTTTTCAGGACTCAGGGTCAGCAAAGGTAAAGGGAAGGATCAAGGAGGGGATGCGTCGGTTTCAGGATCGCCGCGAAGCAGTTTGCTCTGGGAGCTGTGAAAGCTGCACTCTCAGTGGGACCGATCGGCTTTTTAGGATTGTCCTTGCGGTTCAGGGGGGGTTGAAACTACTCGTGGCAGTAGACAGACCCAGGCTGATCCCACAATACTGCGCTGCCAGCCTGAATCATCGCATCGTTCTAGAGAAGTGGCCGCCAATCCCTCAAGAAGACTCCTGGCCTTTGTTGTTCAGAGATTCAGAACGCAGCCTCCGAACACCGAAAAACTTCAATTCTCAGCCCCGAAGTCCAGAATTCAAGCGCTCAATCCTCAGCCCAGAGCCCTCAACTCACTGAAGGGAAAGAGCTTCCGTGATAGGTTCTTAGCGTCTGCCCTTGAGGTTTTGGATTTCATGACGATGATGTTTGGCGCCTAAACCCTAAACCCTAAACCCTAAACCCGAAACCCTAAACCCTAAACCCTGCACCTTGAACCCTAAACCCTAAGCTGCATCAGACGAGGTCAGCAACCGCTTGGCCAGCGATGCGCCCCAGATGGCTGGTGCCGCGGAGAGGCTACTGAGCGAGGAGCTGAGCTTTTGTGGGTGTAGGGTTTAGGGTTGAGGGTTTAGGGTTTAAGGGTTTGCAGAGTGAAGGGAGGTCGTCCTGAGCTTTTATTCTTTTTTTGGGCTTGATGCCTCCCCAAAGGTGATGCTCGCAGCGTTGTCTCGGAGGTGGAAGCCGCCGTGGTGGTGACTCGGCATGCATGGGTTGAATACATGTCCCGACGCCATCTAAACTTAAGCATACAGGCCGAATATGGCCCATAATTACCATAAAGCCCAAAGCCCAAGTCGCGCTAACTAACGCTGGGCACTGTGTTTATTCTGAAGCAGGTTCTCCTTTTGGCTAGCTAGCGCCTGGCCTGAGTTTAAACACAGGGGTGTCAATTTCGGTGGAACTTATGACTCACGAGCGTGCTGGCATGGTTCAGTTCCAGAAGCACGACTATTAGCATCAGAGACCCAACCGTAAATTCATCTTTCATCCTTCACCTAACTCCCGATTCCTTCCAGAACCCGTGTGAATTACAGGGGAAACCCAAAGCCCTTAAACCCTGCACCCTTGGAACCCCAAACCCCAAACCCCAGACCCCAGACCCCAAACCCTAAACCCGAAACCAAGCCCTAAAGTTACGTTCGCTCCCGTCAGCCATCAACCAGCACAGGCCAAGCCAGGCGCTCACCACGTGTGGAACGACCCCTCGGCTCCTGGGCCTTCGTTGATTAGGTCGGGGTTTCGGGTTTAGGGTTGAGGGTTTGAGGGTTGAGGGTTGAGGGTTCAGGGTTTAGGGTTTTGGTATTAGGATTTAAGGTTTAGGGTTGAGGGTTGAGGGTCGCTAAGCCCTTGGAGCCCGCCAAAGTCTGGGACGAACGGCCCCACAGCTACGGGATTGAGCCACGAAGCTGAAACTCCAAACCTTTGGGGCTCAGGTGCTGCCAGTCTTGGACCTGCAAAGTGGAGCTGAGGACAGCAGGGTTGCAAGGTTGGGTGTGGCAGCTGCGAGAGAGCCAAGGCAGGCAAGGGGGGAGAAGCATGGTCCAGTAGGCCCCAGCTCCGGATATGCAGGGAATATGTTGATCAGTTGCGCGGGGGGGCCAGACAGCACATGCCCCCCCAAAAAGCCCCCCAAAAAAGCCCTAAGCAGTTTTACAGGACCAGCAGCCCCAAGCCTGGGGTCTCCACCCCTTCTTCGACCGCCTGCTGCGCACGGACGTGAGCCCCGGGGCCGCCACCGGGGTGCCAGGAGCCCCAGGGTTTAGGGTTTAGGGTTTAGGGTTGGGGGTTGGGGGTTGGGGGTTGAGGGTTCAGGCGGCGGGGGGGGGGGGGGGGGGGGGGGAGGGTTGGGGGCTTCGGGGTTAAAGTGCTCGGCAGAACAAGTTGGATTGCTCAATATGAATGCATTCGGACGATTGAGCGTGGTCGAAAGATACTGTGCGAACAGCGTGCTAAGTCTTGGAAGGAACTTCAAGTGTCAGAGTGCGTTCATACAATGGAGGGATTCAGGGGCTGTGTTGTTTCTTCTGGGTTTGGATGTTTGGGGCAGGTAGTCTTTGGGACATCAAAGGGAGGTCCCAAGACTTTTGGGGCTTGCGCTGGGCTTCAGATCTTGCGTCTGTCTGGGGAACTCAGGGTTTAGGCTCTTTGGGGTGCAGGGAGCAGGGAGCTTCTTAGCTTTATTCTTATGACTCTTCTCATTGCCTTCATTACACCAATACTGCAGTGATAAGAGATATACTTCTACATCTCCCACAGGGCCAAAGCACTTCCGAGGCCGCTGCTGGTGCCCATCAACCTCTTGCAGGTGCCCACGACCGTCCGCGATTTGGATGAGGCTCCGCCGGGCAAGAACACTAGGGTTTCGGCGCCCAACAACAAAGGGTCGCCTGAAAACACAGGACGAACCACAAGCCCACAAGCCCCCCCAAATGCTGAACACGCATGCTCTAGGCCCTGAAGTTGCCATTCGCGGTCTTTGCACGCATCCCGAGGTGCACCGCGCGCTGCAGCTTTGCGAGATCCTCTGCGCCAAGCTTGCATTTGTAGGCGTGGCGTGGGAGCTGTCTGTGTGTGTGTGTGTGAGTCGGTCGTGACGACACCTCATCTCGGCAAGGGACTCCTGAAACGTATTGGGGGATGAAGCCCATGACAGGATTACTTCGATGGGTTTCGGGATCAAAGCCTGAGAGTGTGCTTGGAGGGTGCTTGAGATGTACATACTCGGTAAGTCGTGGTGAGGTTTCTCGGTCGGAGTCTGAACCAAAAACCCCAAGCATACTGTCTGTCATGAGCCCCAACTCCTCTTCCAACTTTCCCGGCAGGGAAGGAGCGATGCAAGTTCTCACCGTACCTCCGCGTATCGCTGCTGCAGCACGCCAGCCTCCTCAGGAGGGTTCAAGGTGCTTGAGGGAGGTGCCAGCAGTTTGGTTTAGCGTTGCAGGGGTGTGATGTCGGGGTCTATTGATTGAGCAGCTTGGAGTCCGAGGGTTGTTGTTTCAGATTGCTTCGAGGCTGAAATGCCTGATCTTCGCTCTGGTCATGGTCTGCCAGAGCACGCAAGAGAACTGGAAGAGCAGACCGGTGCACCCCAAATCAGCACGGAGAAAGTCGAATCCGGCCTGCTTCAACACGGCCACTATACCCGGTATTACCCCTCCCCTCCTTCGTTTAAGGGTCAAAGCGAAGTGGGCATGCGCCCCACTTTAGACTCCGCACATCCCCAGACCCCAACCACCCACCAAAGCCCCCGCGCATTTTGCGGTGGCCGAGGTCTTTACCGAGCTGATCCCGCTACCCTTGGGCTCCAAGCTCAGGGTTCACCCACGGCGCAGACACGCTTTGGGCGTGGGGTTTGGGGTTTCACTTTAGGGCCTGCAAAGCCTGAACCCTGAAGGAAAGAAATGTCCAAATCAGGGATCAGGGTGCTTCGGCTGTTGCTCAGGCCCGGCTACCCAGAAAGCGCCGCTGAACATGCACGACGCGATCTGGGCGCCGGGAGGCTCCTGGTTTGCGGCTTCGGGTTTGGAGGTTTAGGGCTTTATGGGGTTTATTTCAGGGGCTTGAAATACCTACAACAACAAAGAACTATTCAAATGCCCAACTGAAATTGAATAGGCCCCCTATATGGTACGACCGCACAACCCAACCACTTTCGAGTTCAAAGCTTATGGCCTGTGTTGATCCGCGGAGTGGACTGTGAGTTCCTTCCTGCGGGATGTTCGCAGCTCGTGCTAGCATGCCGGAGCTTGGCAAGGGGATTCTGAGGAGAAGGAGGCCCCTTGATTCTTCGAGGGTTTGTAGAGGTGCAACCTGCCAGGCTGGGATGCGGTGCACCCGCAGATGACGCGGGCTGCGCAACTGGCGCCGTGCCCAGCTTGCTCTGGGTTGCTGAGCTTGTGAGGCTTGCAAGGCAGCGGAATGCTGGGTACAATTTCCCCCTATTGCTGTAGTATAGAAAGGGTAGAGTTTCAAGCAACAACAAAGCTGCAGGAGCTCCTGCTGATCTTGAGACGGCTGGCCGAGCACTTTGCAGCAGCCTCCTGCATGTTGGCAAACAACAAAGGCGCCGAGTAGGGTTCTCAGGGTGCAGAGCTACATGGTTTCAAGATGTCGGGGCTGGGTGAGGGGCTTTGGATGCTGGAGGATCTGAAGTTCAAGAACGGTGGGGTTCTTTTGTGGCGGTTAGTGAATGTTGGACAACCAGTTTAACTAGGTGTCCCCAGCCCCTGAGCCTTCAAGCGACAGGCTTCGACGCGACCAAGATCACGGTCTTCGGATCCATTGCTGCAATCGCCGACCGGGTGGCCAGAACGACAGCCAAAGCCTCGAATCAGAATTAAAGCCCTTGAGCCGTTTTGTCTCCCGTATCTGAACTTTGCGACGCACAAAGCAGCGACGAAATGGGAGCTTCATCCTCATCTCTACGTCCTAGGGAATCCTAAACCCCAAACCCCCAAACCCTAAACCCTGAACCCTAAAGTACATCTCGGAACCATAAACCCCCTGAGAGCACCCGGAGCTCTGGGAAGGTGAGCCCAGGTGAACCCAGACCCTAAACCCCAAACCCCAAACCCAAAACCCTAAACCCTAAACCCTAAACCCTACACCCTAAACCCCGCGAAAGGTTCGGAGATCCCGCGACACCGGTGCTGAGGAGGGCCCGCCTTGGCCCTGGGGCCAGGGCTCGCGGTGTTCAGAGTCTAGGGTTCAGGGTTCAGGGTTTAGGGTTTAGGGGTTAGGGTTCAGGGTTCAGGGTTCAGGGTTCAGGGTTCAGGGTTTAGGGGTTAGGGGTTAGGGTTCAGGGTTCAGGGTTCAGGGTTCAGGGTTCAGGGTTTAGGGGTTCCCATTGGTCGGGGGTAGGGGGTGCTTCTGTGATTAGAGACTCTCCGGGCATGCGTGCGCCTCAGGGGCTCAGGATTTCTGGTGGTTCAGGGCCCGGAGATGGGAGAAAAATCTCCGCACTCTGGGAGGTTCTGAGCTGAGGCCCCAAGCTCCTAAACCTTAAAACCCGAAACCCTCAACTCCTCAACTCCTCAACTCCTCAACTCCTCAACTCCTCAACTCCTCAACTCCTCAACTCCTCAACTCCTCAACTCCTCAACTCCTCAACCCCTCTCAACTCTTCAACTCCTCAACTCAGGGCCAACTCCAAACCTTGCGAGCGGCAGATTCGAAGTGTCCGAGGTCCGCGCTCACGGAGGCCCTCAACGGCACGCTGGGAGGCCGCCCCGTCGCGATCGATCCGAACACCTTCCTGGTGCAGCTCGCTCCTCAGGGTTTAGGGTTTAGGGTTGAGGGTTTAGGGTTGAGGGTTTAGGGTTGAGGGTTTAGGTTAGGGGGTCCCAAGAAAGGGTGGGGCCCCCAAAAAAGCAACAAAGCCTCGAAGGACTTAACCGTTACAGGTCCCACCCCCCCGCCTTGAAACCTCCCAAACTCCACAAAACCCTCAGACAAAGAAGGGGGTGCCCCCCTGTTTATGCCTCGATTTTTTTCTGAGAGCCGAGGGCTCCAGGCTTTGAAGTTTGGGGCTTTGCCTCGAAGGTCGGAGACCATCGAGACGGCGGCGCCCGAACTGAACCTGGCCACTGCCTGAGCTGCCTTGAGGGTTTAGGGTTTAGGGTTTCGGGTTTAGGGTTTAGGGGAGGATTTGCAGCCCGCAACAGGGTCCCGAAACCCGGTAAACTGCCCGAGGCTCTAGGACCGAGACCCCAGAACCAAGAGTGCCCCAACTGGGATTTAGGGTTCCGTTTCCAACAGTTTTTGGAGCCCCTAATCCCTAAACCCTTCGATCACCGCAGGCCCGCACGGCCATCTGCGCGTACTTCTGCCCGGCCCGCAGCCTCCGAAGACTTGTCAGGGGCTTTATATACGGTTTCGGGTAGAGTCTACCAGTCGAGGGCAGAGGGTCTAGGGCTGCCTTTAAATTCGTGCAATTGGGAGGTTTGGGAGCTTGGGGAGCTCAGGGGAGGTTTGGAGGTGTGGGAACCCGAGAACTTCTTAGGACTCATAGGGTTTACGGGTTCAGGGGTTTGGAGGTTTGGGGTGGCATCTGGGAGCACTGGGCTTTCTTGGCAAGCCCCAGATATCCCGTTCTGGGTCAGGTTGCAGGGGCGGCAGAGTCCTGATTCGGCGCTGCTCCAAGGTGAAGTCATGAATCATTACGAGATCAAGAAGCTGAAGGACTCCCCACCTGACATGAAAAGGCCCTGAGAGGCCACTGGAGTTTAGTCATGCTAAGGGTTGCTGAGAGTCAGGGGAGCTAACCCACAGCTTGAACTTGGAGAGGAGGTTGGAGCCGAGGGTCTGAGGGTTTTGGCGCCACTGAGAGAAAAACCGACTAAGCACCTGGCACCCAGAAACCGCAGAGGACGAGACACTTTTTGACTGGGACACCTACGGTTCCGGGCCCAGGAGAGTTACTGAAGGAGACGTCGAGGCGGTTCAACGATTAAGGGGCATCCTCCTGTTGATCAGGCTGGATGATGTATGTGGAGAGGGAGAAGGGCCTGGAACGCGTGGTGCGTCGCCCTCAATCTGGGAAAGCGTCTTGCCCTCTTGGCATCTGTAAAGTCTTTGGGGACGCAGCCTCATGGAGTGCTCTCTGAGGAAGCAGATGTGCGCGAAGCATCTCCTGGAGACCGGAAAGGACATTGCGGGCTGGGCATAGAAGAGTGACACGCTGCACAGCCATGCAGCCCTCTGAGCTCCTGTCAGGAGTGGGGCAAGCTCGTTGCCGGCAACCAGTCCGAAAATGCTTACTTGGAGCTTTGCTCAGCTGCTTACTTCAACACAAAAGCCGCCAAAGTCGAAAGGCAGATGCCACCGAGGCAGTGCTCAGCTAGTTGTTTCACCATTCAGTGTTGCAGATGCCTGCCTGGTTGCACTACCAGCTGCGTAGATGTACGCGTCCGAGATGCTCGAAGCCTCATACACAGCGCACTGAGACTCCAGGTGCGTACTTGGCCAGAGTTCCCTGCGCTGCGGGACATCATCTTCTTCTGGAAGTACTTCATGTGCCCCTTGGCGATGTCCGAAGAAGTGGCCATCCAGGCAGCAAGGCAGCGGGAGTTGTTTCGAGTCCCCGGAACTCTAAATCTGCAGAACCTTAACCCCCAAACCTGCTTTGAATGCAAGAACCAGAGGCACTTCATTCTTAGTGCTCTGAACCTCTGAACCTCCAGAGAAATGGTTTCATCTCCCTCTATGCTTAAGGGGAGCTGGGAACCTTCGCGCTTTATCTTTCTGGGACGTCTGGCCTACGCCCCCACGCGCGCGTCCAAGGCACGGACCTTCGCGTCTTCCCCGACATCGGCAGCTGGTCGTTGCAGGCACCTGAACCGTCAAAAATCCTAAACCCTCAACCCTCAACCCTCAACCCTCAACCCTCAACCCTCAACCCTCAACCCTCAACCCTCAACCCTCAACCCTCAACCCTCAACCCTCAACCCTCAACTTTGGCAGATGCCCATATAAGAATGCACATTGTTTATAGCCTTGAAAGAAGCTCAAGATGCCTCCTTGGGCGCAACAGCCAAAGCTTACGAAATCCCTAAACCCTAAACCCTAAACCCTAAACCCTAAACCCTACACCCCAAACCCTATACCCTAAACCCTAAACCCTAAACCCTAAACCCTAAACCCTCAACCCTCAACCCTCAACCCTCAACCCTCAACCCTCAACCCTAAACCCCAAACCCTAAGCCCTAGCACGCCTGAGAGGGCGGGAATCATGATGCGGATGTCGTGACGTCCAATGTGCTCAGTAAAGTCCAAACCCTAACGCCTTAAATGTGAAGGCTTGGTACGGAACTTAGGGTTCAGAAAGGGGCCTGAGGTCCAGGGTCACTGCTTTCAGGGTTCTTCGGGTTACTCTCCCAGCGCGCCGAGGCAGCGTACCTGACCTGGAATGTGGCCAATGAGAGCGAGGTCTTTGGCCCTCCCACGAACAGGGGTGTGGCTTGGCACTGAACTGTTTGGCCCTGGACCCTGATCTGAAGCCCCGAAAGCCGTGAACCCGAAAAAACTACCTTCTTAAAGCCATCCAAACCCCTGAGCCCTACACCGTGCTTTGGTCTTGGTAGCCCAGTGTGTACCCTTTTGTCTCTTTTGTTGGTTCTATAGGTTGCCTTAGAAGGGAACCAACCCTGCCCTTGTTCCAAATGGGCTATCGCAGTGGGTGAGTGCTGCGTCCCAGGCCATCTTTCAGGTCAGCGCCTTCGGTGAACCCCTCAGCAGCAGTTCTTCTGGTCGCCCGCAAGGAACACTGGCGCACATGTCCGAAGGGTTTAGGGTTTAGGGTTTAGGGTTTAGGGTTTAGGGTTTAGGGCATGAACGCCGCGCGATGCTGGAAGTGAAAACTCTAAACCCCATCTACTTGCATCCGTCGTTTGGTTCTCGAGCACCGTCCTTGCGCCCAGGCAGCGAGGTGTTTAGAATGTGGGCTCTTTTGTTTGCTTCCAGAAGTTTTTTCCAATGCCTTTTTGCACGCAACCCTTGGGCCTTGAATATTCCGTTCGTTCACCCCTGCATTAAACCTTGCATCCTACACGTATGCTCCTGAACCCTAGAGCCCCAACTGCACGGGGAGCCCTTCAGGCTCTTAGTCTCGACACTGAAGCCTCCCAAACACGCTAACACCCCACCCACGCTAAAGGCCCAGCAACCGAAAGCGAGGCCACGACCACGTCTTGAAGACCAACGAGCCCAACTACAGGACCCCCTCTAGGGGAGGTTGGTCGGTGCTCAGAGCTTCGTCCCAACCCCTCCCCCCCAGCGTGCAACGTCAACACCTTCAACGCGGCTTGCAGCTAAAGTCTTTACAGTAAGCCCCACACGTCCGCAAAGCACATAAGGCCCTAAACTCGACACCGCGACCCTGACACCTTGAATGCTTGAACCCTCAACCAAGCCTCGCAGGGCCCCCAGAATCCCCTAGGGCCTAGGAAAGAAACCTCCGGAGGCAACCGAATCTCCGCCGGCCCCAGGCTGAATTACCCCTGCGAACCGCAGTCATCTTGGGACTCCAAGAAGAGAACTGACCTGCGTCCCACAACAGACGGTGGCAGGCCCAAACCGTCGGCCAGCGGCCACCGATACCCGAGCGCAGCACTCGCATCGAAGTGTCCCAGCCGCAAGTCTCCGCAAGTCTCGAGGGGCTTGAGGGATGTCGGCTTGGTCTTTGAGCCGCTTGAGCTTTCGATTATTGTTATTTGTTGATCATCATCATCATTATTATTATTATTATCATTCTTCTTCTCATGATTATTTTACTTACTACTACTGTTATCATGAGTATTATTCTTATTCTTATTATTATTATGATTATGATTATGATGATGATGATTATTATTGCGACTGTTCTTCTTCTTCTTCTTCTTCTTCTGATTTGTTATTTCTATTCTTTGCTTTTGTGTATGTGTGTGTGTGTGTGTTTTCTTCTTCCTGTTGCGCATATCTTGGGTCACTGTGGTCATCTCAGTGGTGTAATGTGGGCCGTACCTCCGCCCCGAGCCCGCCGTTGTCACGCACAGGGCTCTGCTGGAAACTGTGAGGTACACAGGCCGAGCCGTAGTACGGACCGAGGATGACCTGTGCCGCCCTCGGTGTAGGCGTTTGTTGTTTCACGAGCTCAGCACTGCGTGAGTGCAATGTACAGGAAAAAGGCTTTCATGGTTCTGAGGCAAGCTTCCAGGATTGCTCCGGGATGAGCTTTTGCTGATTCTGTGGAATGCCGCCCTGTCCGGAATTCAACAACCCGATGCAGTCCTCACTCTCGACCCCAGCTCAGTACCAAACCCTCCACTCAGGCTGTACCTTCGGTCATTGCCGACATTCGAGGCGTGGCGGCCTGGGTCTATGGATGCAGATGATTTTGGGGGACAGGTATGTGCAATCTCTACCAACCTTTCAACCCCGAACCCCAAGTCCTTTGCCCTAAGCCCTCGACCTTGGACTGAACGCTGAACCCTAAGCCCGAAGCCCTAAACTCTGAACCCTAAGCCCTGAACCCTAAGCCCCAAACCCCAAAACCCTAAGCCTCAAACCCCCAAGCCCTAAGCCCCTAACGCCCTAAGCCCTACACCGTAAAGCCCCTGAAGCCCCTGAAGCCCCTGAAGCCCCTGAAGCCCCTGAAGCCCCTGAAGCCCCTGAAGCCCCTGAAGCCCCTGAAGCCCCTGAAGCCCCTGAAGCCCCTAAAGCCCCTAAAGCCCCTAAAGCCCCTAAAGCCCCTAAAGCCCCTAAAGCCCCTAAAGCCCTACACTCTACAGTAAAAACCCCCTAAAGCCCCAAAAGCCCTCGAACCTCTGCGAGGACCGCCTGCGGCCCTCTGACGCCGAAGCCCTGCTCTCCTTCCTGACGGCCCGGAGCTCGCGCGGGCTCTCTCGGGTTTTAGGGGTTTGGGGTTGGGAGGTTCCCCCTTATACCAACAGTCCTGAATAGGGATTATAGTACCCCCTATCGCAATCCCTGTTGAGGACTGTTGGTATAAGGGGGGAACAGCCCAAGTTTAGGGCTCCAGGGTTTTAGGGATTTTAGGGTTTTTAGGGTCGTAGGTAGGGTGTAGGGTTTAGGGGTCTAGGGTTTAGGGTTTTCGGGTTTTTTCGGGGTTTTAGGGGTCTAGGGTTTTCGGGCTAAGGGCCTTCAGGGTTTTAGGGGGTTTAGGGTTTAGGTTCAGAAAGCCAGGGTCTCGGGTACTTGTCTTCGGGTTTGAAGGTCGAGGATTTTAGGGTTTTGCGTTGGGGTTTCGGATTCTTGGTTCAGGATGAGGAGTTTAGCAATTCATAGCATCGAGGAGTTTGGTGCTTTGGGGTTTTGGAGCAAGGTGTCGAGGCGACAGAGCTGAGGGCTTAAGAGATTTGGCTTCAACCCTTGCCGGTATGTCAGCGCCGTTTCGTAAACCGCTGAAGTGCTGGTCGCGAAACATCGCCTCACGAGTGGGTTCTGTGGTGCTTCTTTCTGTCAACTCATCCCAGCAATAGCTGAGGTCCCCTACATCCGCATGTGCGGGCCTGAGGAAACATGGGTCTGCTTGCGGGTTGAGATGTAGTTTGGGATGTTCCCCTTTAACCTTTATCTCACAGTCCTTCCCTACTATCGTACCAGATCCCTAGCAAGGAAGCCGTCTAAACCTCAAACTCACTACCCTCAACCCTCGGCTGTAGACCCTAAACCCTACACCGCCTAAATCCTAAGCCTTAAACTTAAACCCAAGTGCTGATCGCTCTCTCGCATACACCCTAAACCCTAAGAATGCTGACAGGCCCCTGATGCTGTCCTTCTTCACCTCTGCAGATCGCGCTGGGATGCCCAGGGCTCCTGGAGCTTGTGTCTTCCCAAGAAAGCGCCCACTCCAAGCAACAGGGGGGACCTTAGATGGGGTTTAGGCGTTGGGGTTTAGGGCCAGTCTCAGCCCCCTTATGATACCCTATATTCGTAGAAGAACCACCGGCACCTACAATAAACTAACCATTGCATCATAATTTGACCCTTAGGTAGGGACCTTCGGCCTTACAGGTGGCCACTTCTGCTGCATTGGGAGCCACTTGCGGGGGGGCTTTCGATCTCGGACCGCTGCCGGGTGCGAGGTGAACTGCCTCTTCAGCGACACGCCGCAGCCCTGGAGCAGTCCCACACACTGGGGCGAACCATCGTCTCAGAGTCCTTAAGGTCCTTCCTGGGAAATGGACTAAGGAGGGTCCTCTTATGGGTTGATAGGGGACATGTAGGGTAGTTTTGATCCACTGCCGTATAGGCTTTGGGTTTGAGGCGTGGGCTGTCAGGGTTTTGCGAGCTTGTGGCTTTGGTTCTGTGCCCAAGAAGCCCGTGAACCTTCCATCCTACAACCCAAGCGCCGCGAATCCCGAGAGCCAGATGCACTTAAAGCCGAAACCCAAATCCTGAACCAAGGCAATTCTTGCTGGTTTCGAAGCACTGTAAGCATCTCGAGACTTGAACACAGTTTACCGTTTTCGAAGCCCCTCAAGCCCTCATCTCAAAATCCTCGAACTCTAGGAAGACCCCCCCCCCCCCCCTTGTTGTTTCTTTCAGCTCTCTCTGTGTGTTTTTAGGGATGGCCGAGGCTGCGGGCGATCCTCCACGCTGTGGTCCTGGAGCCTGGGAAGTTTCTGATGCCGGGGCGGTGGCAGGAGCCAGCTCCTCAGCAATTCGGATGAAGGAGGCTCGAGGGGTTTCCTACCTTCGGGATCAGGGTGCCGTAGGGTGTAGGGAGTGTAGGGCTGAGTGCAGGGAAGCATCGGCAAGTTGACCATGATTCCCTGCCAGCGTGCTTGGAGGAGCAGGGCAGCAAGGTTTGGGGGGCCTGCTTCAGCGGGGTTGGATCTTCATGGCTAAAAGAAACACATAAACAACAAAGAAAGAAAGACAGATACTCGTAGGTATACAAAAGCTCAGCCCCGGAAACTCTGAACCGCAAACCCCCGTCAGAACCTGCAGCCTTGCAGTGGTCCAGGATGCACAGGGTCTGAGTTCGGTCTCAAGTCCACGAACGGAATGGGAGCCGTACTTGCTCAGAACAAGGAGCCCTCATACTGAAGAC